CAAATTGTCTTTTCTCAAATTCATGGTTAAACGGCTGACAAGGACCCTTTTGCATATATGCTCTTCGAACTTGATCTCTAATGTTAGAAGTGTAATTCAAGATTGGAGTCCTTAATCCAGGATCGGTGGGAAGTTGTGCAACATCAAAATCATCTCCATTTGACGTCTCTTCATTAACATTTTCCGCAACCTCAAGAGTTTTTCTTTTATAAAATATTTCCATGACTGACTGGAAAAATAGGAATTGGAATTTGGAATATAAATAAACAAAAAGTAATATGGAATTTATAGCAAGACAATTTTCGGTCCAAGTTAAATTAGTTTTATTTTCCCATTTCTTTTATAAACATTGTAATTTGTAAATTAGTTTTATGGTGTTGCATCTTCCACTACAGTCAACAAATTGATTCAAAGAACATANNTCAACAAATTGATTCAAAGAACATATAGTCAACAAGACAATAACCACAGCCAAAGAACCAAATCGAACCAATCAGAAGCCCAAAGAACCAAGGCAACAAGCCAACAACCATAGCCAAAGAACAATTTCCAATTCCAACCCATAGAATTTTCTCCCTTTCCTCCCAGCCACTGCCCTGCCCACTAGTTCAAAAATTTCCTCAACAATCGACAACCAAAGTAACAAAATAAACAGCCACTAGCCCCACGGCCCACATAATTTCCCCCTTTCCTTCGGCTCCCAGCAACAATAACACTATAGTCTATAGCAATCAGCATATGGAATTTATAGCAATAGCACAATAGAAAATAGAAACTATAGAAACCTTACCTACGAGGGATGCTGGTTGCTGGACGTGTGTGGATGGATGCAGCAGGGGGCAGGGGCCGGCGACCGACGATGGAGTCGATGCAGCCTGCAGCAGGGGCATGCTAACCAGGGTGTATTCGGTGTTCCTATTGGTTGTTGCAGAGGTTGCGTTCAACATTTCAGAGGCTGGGCTTAACTTTTATCAGATTTTTTGGGTCAAATAATTGGCCCAGTTTTTTTGTTTTAAGTATTGGGTTCAGAAAAAATTGGGGACGGCCCAATGGGCCTGGGTTAGGTCCGCCCTTGCCTATGAACATTAAAACTGATGGAAAGAGAAACTATATTACCTTTCCAGGATCATCTGTCACTATTTCCAGTATATCCTCATATCTATCCTTACCAGCAACAACGTGAAGAAATGTCAAATTTTCCTGCCCTACAGCATCAAGTTTCAATTAAAAGTCCTCTCATATTCAACTAGGGATTCACATTCTGAATTTAGTTCATCTACTATACTCTCGGGGACATATCTCAACAGTAACACTACAAAAGACCTAGAATTTTTCTGCACTGCTCAGTGAAGGAGACCCATCTCTTGCAATGCAAACTTCAAGAAAGGTTGCTCAGCTGCACCCACCATTCTACTGAGAAGAGTGTCCAGGAGATTATTTACAATGGCATACGAATCATGGTCAATAGAGAACTCCATGAGGTATTTCATAATTTCCTTAGTGCATGAAAAATATTATCAATTGTCCTAATGAATAAATGATGAAATCTGGTTTGAACTTGTTAGGTTTTTAATTATGTAATTGCAACTCTGTAAACAAAAGAGACTTAATTGCAAATGTTTTAAAAAGTCAAGGAGTAATGTGCAATTATATGAAAATAGGTTTTTTAGGTCTAGGGTTCGAGTATGGCAAGAGAAGAAAAATACGGTGCTAATTTTCGCTAGATTGTCGCCATGTATTGGCTCGAGCGTAAAAAACAGAACCTTCGTCGCTCGATTGTCGCCATACCTTCGCTCGAGCGATAGTGTTGTACGGGAAATTTTTATTTCGCGATTTAAAGACTTTTTCCTCGACCCATTACTTTCCTAACCTACCTACAAATACCAAAACACATCTGAACGTGAAGAGACAAGGTTGATCATTAAGAGAGCTTCATCAAAGAGAATTCTTACATATTTCTTCTTTCAATCTTCATCCTGTGAGATTGTTTTGGTGAGAAAAACATCACTTTCATAATCCAAATATCAAACTGTTCTTTTGTCCACATCTATCAGAGTTGCTGAAGATCGAATGAAGTTGACTGAAGTTCTAGTCGGTGAAGAACTGGGTATTTTTCTTGATCTACAGGAGATAGATGATTCCACAAGGCTAGGAGTGCTGTAGGGTAGCAGATTCCAAGAGACCTTTGAAAATTGCAGCTAAGGATTGGTACAGAGGAGAACAGTTTCCAGAGAGCTGTAAAAACTTCAATCCGAAGATCAGATAGTATGTGTCGTCGTCTAGTCTGGTAGACTGTAAGTGTCTAAATCGTTTATAGTGGATTAACTGGCAAAGTGCCCGGAGTTTTTTCCAGTTGGGTTTCTCCATGACCATACCGTGTGTTTTTACTGCTTTCTCTATTTATTATATTAATTGCGATATTTAAACAAGGGTTAAATTGACTTGCATGCTTAATCATCTAGAGATAATTAATTGGTGACATGTTACTAATTAATTAATAATTTTAATTTTGTATAATATACATATTCACCCCCCCTTTTGGTATTGTTAGGGTCGAACCACATAAATTTCAATTGGTATCAGAGCCTTAATTCGATTCCTAACCATTAATAATATCTAGATGAGTCAGTCACTGTCTGTGTCTACGTTTTTTTATGGAAGCAACTATGCTTATTAGAATGTTCAAATGTAAGCCTTCCTTAAATCTTTGGATGAACATATTTGGATTAGCATCCAAACTGGGTGGACTTTACCTTTAACTACTGTTGCTGGTGTAATCACACCCACTGATATTTCATTATGGACTAAACTAACTTAGATGAATGTAACTGAAACAGTAAAGCATTGTATGCCCTGTTCATGGTTGTGTCTGTTGAAGAGTTTAAAAGAGTTTCGATATGTGAGACCGCTAAAGAAATTTGGGACACCTTAGAAAACACACACGAGGGAAAAAATTCTAAACTGCAGATGTTAACCACTAGGTTTGAAGAAATTAAAATGAAGTACGATGAATTGTTCGATGAATTCTATGCGAAGTTTAATGATATAGTTAATTCGAGCTTTAACCTAGGTGAAATGATTCCCAAGTCCAAGATCATTAGAAAAGTCCTTAGATCCATACCTAAAAGGTTTAGACCTAAAGTCACCGTTATTGAAGAAAGTAAGGACTTAGATACAGTTAAAATAAAAAAACTCGTAGGATCCCTTCAAACCTATGAACTCACCGTCTCTCAATCTAAAAAGATTAAATCTATAGCTATGAACACTATTAGAGAAGAAGAGAGTCTTCTAATGCTGAGTCACTTAGGGACGACGAAATAGCTTATTTCGTTAAAAAATTTCAGAAAGTAATGAGGAATACGAGAAAGCCTTAAGAATGGAAAAGTGGATTCCCTAG